AGATGATAAGAATTGGAGGGCTGGAGAACTGGAGGGAGAGCCTGCATTTCAAACTAATTGGAGAATGTGATTTATGACAGTTAATTGGAGGAGGGAATTGTGCTTTGATACTATGTACTCAGGCGAGGGGATTCCAGTTTTTGGCTTCGAGTGTGTTAGTGCAGATGCTATGCTTCTCAAATAAAGAATCTTTAAGGTAAACAATGCCTCGAAGTTCTTTGAAGAGTTTCATCTGTCGGAACCATGACAACTATAGTTACATTATATTAGATCTGCTTTCCATTCATTCTCATTCTCTTTTCAGAAATCAAATGGGAGTCCATTTGCTAATGGTGATGCCTGTTTTGCTCTAGCCTATGCAATTATCATGCTGAACACTGACCAGCACAATCATAATGTTCGCAAGCAGAATGTGCCTATGACATTAGAGGTGAGATATTTCTTCTTTGTAGGATCTGCTTACCTGAATATTTTGATTTTTTTTTTCTGGTGTCTCGGGTTTTATTAGAGATTATATTTTCACTCTCAGCTTTCTTGTTCCTACTTTTTTTTTCAATAAACGGACCAGGGAAATATTTAAAAATAGAATATAGTAAAATAAAGTTCTTATAAAAAGTGGTAAAACAAGTTCCTTACCGTAGGAGTCCAGTGTAAATCAGATTATTTTCACTAGGTAGGGAAAAAATCTTTCTGCCATCGACTTCCTTCCAATAAAAAAAGTGTTTTGTTGTTCCAGAAAAAAAAGCAGTAATAAAGAATAAAAATTTCATTTTTATAATCCAGCAAAGGGTAGGGGAGTAAGGATAGTCCGGCAATTCCACCAGATGTTTAACTCTTAAAATGTAAAGCAAAAAGAAAAGAAAAGAAATTCAAATTTGGAGGCATGCTTAAAAATTCGAACAACTGATAGGAAAAGATGGAGAGCTAACTCTCCGGCCCTCCTTACCCATCGAAGAGTCATCTGAGTCACTTGGAGTTTCAATCTAGGGAACATTTTGCCATCAAAGAGCCAGCTAAGGTAGCAAAATCAGCTGTTTGTCAGCAGGGAAAAGAAAACTACCACGTCTGCCCAGAGCTCCATTTTCAGAGGATCCTTTGCTCCTGTTTTTATATGCTTTTTTTTTCCTCTTTGAATTGCAGTAGCTTAGAAACCAACCTCAAAATCTTCCAAAGATACGTGTTCCTTCTGAATTTCATAATAAAGTATTCAAAATATGTCACAATAAAGCTTATTTGCAGCGTTCAGAATTTATCAGAAAGTAATGCTGTACTTTCATCGCCCACTACAGGAATTCCGGAAGAATCTGAAAGGAGTAAATGGGGGCAAAGATTTTGACCAAGACATGTTAGAAGATATGTATTATGCTATCAAGTAAGTATAAATTAATTCCTTGGAAGGAGACAGTTGTCAGAGTAATCTGATTTTTTTAAAAAACAAAAACCAATTTGATGTACCGGCTAAAGGGCTAGCTGTCAACGCTGCTAACATTGGATGTTCTTGCTTTGACAAAACATGAAGAGGCAGCCACTCTCTGTATAAGCTGTGTGGTACTTTTAGAGTTAAATTAGATGATGCTGGGAGGGGAGGAGAAAGAATGTGTGTGGGGATTAGTTAAGATAAGAAAACACAGGCTAGGGAAATTTTGCCCTTCAAACTGATTGGAGAACGTGATTTATGACTGCTAATTGGAGGAGGGAATTGTGCTTGAATATTATGTGCTCAGGGGAGGGGAATTCAGATCTTGGCATCCACCATGTTCGTGCCGAAGGGAGTTATACTAATAAAGAGACTTTAAGGTAAACAATGCCTCAAAGTTCTTTGAAGTATTCCCCTAATCGGAACCATGACACTAGCTAGCAGCCAGTAGACAGTGAGTTCTAGTCCTGCCTTAGGCATCAAAAACTATCTGGGTGACTTTGGGCTATTCACAGCTTCTCAACCCAACTTAACCTCACAGGGTTGTTTTGTGGGGAAAATAGGAAGAAATCAGAATATAGATATATTTGCCACTTGAAGTTATATATNAACGGTGTAGGGTTTCCTGCCTGAGCAGGGGGTTGGACTCGATGACCTCCGAGGTCCCTTCCAACTTTATTATTATTATTAAGTTTCGTGGGTATCCGTTTCTCTCAAAGACTTTGTATAAGAGTTTTTGTTCTACTGCCCCCTAGTGGCACAAATGCATTTTTTCTTGTTTGAGAACTGCATTGAGAAGTAGCAATTGTATTCCAGCTGAGAGAACTTGCAATAATTTAAGACTTTAGAAAAAGTCTCAGAAATATTTCATTAAGGTCTTCGTGTCATATAGTTCGAATACCATGCCTCAGATATATTATCATTGTAAAAGAACGTACTCCACGTTCCTTTTTTTTCTTCTTCAATTCTTCTGGAAAAAACAGAAAAGAAACTGGTTTTTTCCTAATTTTACCAGGGTTTTTTTCCCCTCCAGGCCTTCTCATCTCTAGTGAGGAGAAGGGAATAGTTAATCTCATACTTTGGGCGTGAAAAGCTCAAATCCGGCTTCGCTTCTCTATATAACCACTTGGTTAATAATAATAATAATAATAATAATAACAACAACAACAACAACAACAACAATAATAAAGTTGGAAGGGACCTTGGAGGTCTTCTAGTCCAACCCCCTGCTCAGGCAGGAAATCCTATACCATTTCGGACAAATGGCTGTCCAGTCTCTTCTTAAAAACCTCCAGTGTTGGAGCATTCACCGCTTCTGGAAGCAGGTTGTTCCACTGGTTAATTGTTCTAACTGTCAGGAAGTTTCTCCTTAGTTCTAGGTTGCTTCTCTCCTTGATCAGTTTCCATCCGTTGCTTCTTGTCCTGCCTTCAGGTGCCTTGGAAAATAGCTTGACTCCCTCTTCTTTGGGGCAGCCCCTGAGATACTGGAAGACTGCTATCATGTCCCCCCTTGTCCTTGTCTTCATTAAACTAGACATACCCAATTCCAGCAACCGTTCCTTATATGCTTTAGCCTCCAGTCCCCTAATCATCTTTGTTGCTCAAAGGCTATCTGTAATAATTTTGTGATGTAGATCTACCTAATAGTTCTTTCGTTCTACACGGTTGTCTTGATTTTGTGTCTTCTTTTCAGGACTTTCCATTTCCAAGGTTTACGACTAGATGAAGCTTTACGATTCTACCTAGAAGCCTTTCGTTTGCCAGGAGAAGCTCCCGTGATTCATAGGCTATTGGAAGCCTTTACAGAACATTGGCATGTATGTTTTGAATTGCCCTATCTCTTTGTTCTTTTTTTTTTTCCAACAAAATTTTTTATTGGTTTTATTTTACATGGTGGCAAGGCCATCAATTAATCAAAACAAAATCATATTTGTACAATTCAAATTATTTCAATATAATTAACTCGTTTATACATATAACTAATCTATTATTATTTTAATATATCCTACTTCCCCTTAGGTCAATACTAGTAACTCTATTTCTATACTC